GAAACCAGCTTTTAAACGGATTACTCCCCAATTTCAGGCTATGCAGTGAATTGAGAGAACGGAGAGATAGGAGGCTGCGGATGAGCTATATGTCACCAAAGCAGCAACTATTTCTCATATTTCTTGAGCTGGGGTATTGTGGGGAGGGGGGGGCGTTGTTGGGTGTGGGGTTGTTGCTATTGTTGCTGTTGGGGGTTTTTTTGTATCTTTATTTTCGATCTTGTTGGGAATTATGTGGAAATTGTTCAGTGTGCATTTTTAAAGGTTTCGTTTATTGTTTATAACTACTTTTATTATGTCGTAGCTATGTATTCCTCTCGTGCCGTAAGCCACCTTGAGCATGGTTTGAAGTCTGGAAAGACGGCATACAAACAAAATTACATGTGCATGTATGCAGGATAATGTTTACTAGGAAAATCACTTCTTTTTCTTAAAAGAGCACAACCATCGACAGTACTCACACACAGCCACCCACTTTTAGAAGAAATTTATTGACAGCAGGCCAGCATTTTAGACCCCTTCTTCCATTTAAGTGCAGTGTCTTCTGTTTTACAATTTGGGAACAAACCATATTTTCTTCTTGCTTTCCTTCTCTCTCCCCCCCCCCCATTTTTCTCCTAGACTGTCACCTGACCTATGGTTATGCAGCGGATTAGGGTGTTGTTGTTTTTCACCCTAGCACAGTGATATGCCTTATGAAAGCTCAGACAAACTTCAACATGTGCCTCCACCAGCTTTCTCCTGATTCAAGCCACACATTGCAGGTTTTCCAGGCTACAGTGAGTCACCAGCCTCATGTTGGAGCATTTATTTGCAAGATCTGTCTGCCGCATCGCCCAAGGAACCAACTCATTGTTTTTCACTTTCACCACAAAACTGCCATAAAATGCCCGAATTGTCCCATGAACTTGACCGCATGGTGGGTTTGCACGCTTGCGCACATTCGGCCGAATCCAGCCCCTGCTTTGAATCATTCGGAGAAATAAATAATTGTAGTCGCTCATACACAAGACACGCCATTTTAGGTGGGGCTTCTAAGACACAGCTGCTGAAATGGCAGAAACTAAAGGTGCTTTCATTATATCGCTTAATGAGGCTCACATACATACATACATACATACATAATGAGGCTCTTCTCACTTCCAAATATTACGGAACTATAAAAAAAACCCTTTTAATTTTATAACCTATATTCTTTTTCATTTTTGCCCGTTTCATTTTTTTTGGGGGGGGTGTCTTACAGCTTTTGGGTTTTACATCTTCAGACATTTCTTCACAAGTCAGAAGTAGTCTCATTATTGAAAAGAAGAAAGGATGGAACCCTGCTCTAAATCCCTCTTGCTAACGTTTATCTCAAATATTATCTTTAATGTTCTCCTTTCACAAACAGGGCAAGGCAGAGAAAACTACTGACATGATCAAAAAGAAGGCCGAAAGTCTCGAATGATTCATTTCTGAATTTCCTGTGCTATTCTGAATCTTGAAAAGCCACCTGAAATTGGGTCTGGCAACCATAAGGACAGATCTTATTTGAGACATAGCAACCAGTGAAGCACCAGGCATGCGGGGGCAAGAGACTGGAAGCCATAAATCACCCCCAAAGCAGATTCAGGGACACTGAGAAGAGGGAGGAACGGATCTGTCAGTTCTCATTCCGTTACTCCCTTCTCCAATCTGAAATTCCTTCCTTCAAATCAGCTTGTGAGTTAGTTAGTTAGTTAGTTAGTTAGTTGGTTGGTTTTAAAGTCCTCATGAAACTTCATTAGCATTTAATGCGGATTTCTTTTACGGACACTTTACCCTAGTTTATGAATTACATGGGTGAAGAACTGCACAGCAAAATCTGGAGACGAGAGAAAGGTGGTTGTGCTTCAGTTCCTGTGTTGTTTTTTGAAAGCGCAAATTATTCAGCCCGCATCCCTAACTGAGAGTGCAGTTTACTAGAGCTGGGCACTAAAACTCACAACCAAGGGCCCGGGCTCAGTGCAGAGAGTCAGCTTTGTGTATACTAAGTAGAACTGGCCGGTCCTGCGCACATGGACAGATGCCATTATGCTATCAAGACCAGTACTGTCTGTTCTGACTGGCAGCTGTTCTCTAGGGGGTCTTTCCTAGCCTTGCTGTCTGAGATCCTTTTAGCTGGAGCCAGTGGGGGGCTGAGCCCAGGGCGTTCTGCACACAAAGCGTGCGCTCGACTGATAACCTGCAACCCCCTTCTAAACCCCCAACAGCTGCAAGATCAGCAACACATGCTCGTCTGAGCTGCTCAGAACCACTAATTGGGATCTTCCAAATGAGAGCTGTTTGCTCATCCCCACATTTTTTCAGTCTTTACCCAAACTGTCTCTGGGACTTCCCTGTATTTCTAATAGCCTGGTAGGTGGCTGTGAGGTGTCCGGCTTTGGGGGTTGGGGGGTGCACATGTTTGGATAATCAGCAAATGCTAGAATGAATGGGAAACCTGAAAAGGACTTACAGACATTTTTAAGCAGATGAGACGACCACCCTCTTCAAGTTACAATCCCCGATAAGCCCAAAAGGGACACGGCTGCGCTTGAAGTACAAGCGAGTCGACGATTTGTGCTTCCCTTTGCTGATTTTTATTTTGCATCTACCTTAAAATATCTATGTGCCGCTGCTCCAAGGAAAGCCTCACAAAGTGACTTAACAACAGTAAAAACTGTAAGCACATTTTGAAAAACAGTATTATTAAAACCACAATTAAAACAAAATTCGCAAAAATAAAAACAGATTCTAAACTCCGATAAGCTCCATCGTTTTTCAACAAGCAGACACCAGCTAAGATGGTGGCGGCTATGTTACACTACACCCCCCCCTCCCCAAAAAAACACCCCACAAATCTGTGCCAGCAGCAATGTTCAGCAGTAAGCAAAGACACAGAGCTCAGCTCAGAGAAGGTCTTCACACCATTCTTCCCACCCTTTCCTGGACTCCTGAAGATCCCTTAAAGATTTCGCCCAGGTTTTGGCTGAATAGGGACCTGATACAGTCATTGACAAGTGGAAAAGGGAAGGAATTTGCTCTTCCATAGCTAACAAAATGATGCGTGTTAGGGAGAGAGGGTCTTGATGAAACTGACTTGGGAAGGAGGTGAGGCTCCACCAACATAAATTTTCCATAAATTTGGTGCTGCTAACGCAGCCGTTTGACTGCACCTCCAGAGGCGCACTCCATTGTCTCTTGAGACAGACGGATTCCAACACGGAGAGCCACACCTCTGGCGCTGCTGTAGGCTTGAGCATGGCTTTGGTGGGGCGCTGCTAGTTTTTGCCCACCCTGAGCACTTGGGCTGTGAACCTTACATGGGCAAGTCTGCATCTATAGCGTGTTGTATAACACCCGTTCTCAATGATATTATGCAAAGCAGGAATTAACTGGAGGGAGGGAGGGGAAAACAGCCATCGAAGGCAGGGCAGTGGTGATTCATTCATGCTCTCGCTGAGTGCCAAAGCCAGTGGAAAATACCAGATCTGCCACACCCAAGGTCTGCATTGAGACCACTAGGCCACTTCATATGCACAAGGACAGGGCAAGCGAAAGCGTTTAAGTGACCGGAACAAAAAAATCCAAATGGAAACCCTTCCCACTAACTGACAATGGGGTAGAAACCATGGCAGAATTCTCCACCCCAAGCCCCACTGGAGTGAACGGCTGTGCTCTTGCCCAGCTGCGGTTTACTTCTATGGAGCTTGCAAGAAATTTTCCCTGCGGTTTGTTTTCCCACTGAAACCCGCCTCCCAGCCTGCCATGATTTTGAAACCTCATTTTGCCTATTGTGGACCTACCACCTCTGCAACCCAAGGTCCGCCAGTTGCAGGAACTGGCCTGTGCATCTATGAATGCTCAGTTAATCCTGGCGTCCCTGCAATGGCCCGTCTCTGCCATGGCCATTGAAAGATTCTCCACAGTCATCGAGCGCTATGTGGATCAGACGTCTACAGCTCTCCTCCACTAGCTTCCTTCTTTGTCGCACCAATGCCTGTTTTCCCCTCTCTGATTGGCCTGACCAATTTGGGGATTTCAGCAATAAGAAAGACACATAAACTGAGCAGTGGTATATTAAAAGCACCGACTGTTAGCCTACCGGATCAACTTTCAAAGACGATCTGAAGTTCTGCGCAGGGGTTCCTTTGTCCCCCTTCAGGATGTAACACACAGAGAGGCCCAGGTTCGAAATATGAAGCACCCGTGTCAAAAAGCAGTCTACACACACACACACACACACACACACACACGGCCCATCTAATGGACTGCAGAGAAAGGTCATGGCCGGAGGAGAGGGTCAGAGGAAGAAATGCAGACAAATGTGGGCAAATTATCTTGGTGCCCTGACTTATATCTTATTAATGGTGCCAGTCGCTGTGGTATCTCAAGGTAACACCCAAGCTTCCAGAGCAAATAGCTTATCTTGCAAACCCCTCCCAGGCATCAAGGAGACGAGGGGATACGTCGGAGAAGTTAGGAGCAGGGCAAAGGGAAGGGGAATGATTGGGAGGAAAGGCATATTCTCAAGTCCATGTTTTTTTTTTTTGTAATATTCAATACTATATGAGGCAGGGGTCAGCAGCCTTTTTCAGCCGTGTGCCGGTCCACTGTCCCTCAGACCTTGTGGGGGGCCGGACTATAGTTTGAAAAGTAAAAAAAAAGAACAAATTCCTATGCCCCACAAATAATGCATTTTAAATAAAAGCACACATTCTACTCATGTAAAAACACCAGGCAGGCCCCACAAATAACCCAGAGATGCATTTCAAATAAAAGGACACATTCTACTCATGTAAAAACACGCTGATTCCCGGACCGTCCGCGGGCCGGATTGAGAAGGCGATTGGGTCGCATCCGGCCCCTGGGCCTTAGGTTGCCTTCCCCTGATATAAGGTATTTAGGGTGGCATCAAACAGATGACAGAATTGCCGTCCCGACTTTGGTTCCACATGGTGTTTGGAATTAAATATAATCCACAACAACAGCGCCACAACACACACACACACAAGCTGTTCACCATGTGCAACACACCCGTACATGGTGATTCCCCAACAGCCGCAGCCTGGGTTCTCGAGGTACATGCTTGTTTCGACACTTTGATGTTAGGAAGCAGGGCGGGACGTGAAAATTCTGTTCCCAAGAGCAGAAACAATTTGGTGTGGCAAATGCGAGCCCTTTGCCAGCTTCCCTCCTGCACACACATGTGGGGCTCTCACAAATCCAAACCGCAGGCTGCAGGGGCCGGACTTGCATCCTTCATCATGACAATGGGGTAGGTACCTTTCTATGGGGGCTGTGCAGTCATGAAAAGATTTTGTAGGTGACTATTTATTTGTCTTTTAAAACCAATTGATTCAGTAAATTCAAATCAATTTGTATTTTAATAAAATCATCCTTTGGGGATTTTGAAGGAAATGTGACACAATTTACAGTGTAATCAACGAGACAAAAACCAAATATTTTCTTTTCATCCCCCTATTACATTAGTACACCAGAATCAAAACCTCAAAAACATTATTCTAAAATGCTTTTAATCAGTTTAAAATTGTGAACGATGTCATTATAAATATAATTGCTGTAATTCCTCCCCACTTCGAACCTATATATAGTAATTTTTCATCTCTTTGTACAGTTTGCAATGTATTTATTTGTCCAAGCTGTAATGTAAAACTTGAAAAATAAAAACTGTGGGGCTTTTTTTGGGGGGGGGTGGAATTGCCAAGAATCCTTTGCCCCACCAATTAAAATTTGCCCTCACCAATGTAAATTGTCCTCCACCAGTTAATTGACGAAAGCTCGCGCTGACGGGGAAGCTACCAATTAACCTGAGCAAAACTTGCAGCCCTGCCTTGCATTCATTGGCTAGCAATTGTTCCTCTAGCCTGAAACTTTGAGGAGATGCCGCTTTAGAATTTATACGGGTGTCGCGTTTGCCACAGCATTGCACTGGAGTTTAACACTATATAAAATGCAAAAAGAAGAACCGTGCATAGTGCCTTGTGGGTTTGGGCACTTGAAAATAAATGAATGAATCAATAAGTAAGTAATTGTTGGCAATAGTAAGAATAATAGCGCTATACTTTACTTGTTAACCATGAGAAGCATCAGGGCAGACAGCACAAACACGCTTGGAGAAGTTCTTCTTCAATAACAGAAAAGGAATGGGCAACCAGAAGGCAAACACTTATTTCCCCCCCTTTCCTCCTTTTATAAAGTGCTGTGCCTTGAGTGAGAGAGGAAGGGCAGATCTTGTGTTGATGCCTGCCTCCTTACCTTCTTGCAAAAGAGAAGGCCCTTCCCATATTGTCCATTAATAATTCCCCCATGATCGGAAAACTCAAGAGACATTAAACACATTCAGCTCAGAAGACAAGGATTCGGACGGTCACAATGTTGTGTTATTCGATTAGCGGTGGTGATGGGAGGAGGGCCGATAAATTGGAAAAGGGACCGCATGGCAGGCGTCCCCACTGCTAAAATCCACTTCCTCGCTTCAGCCTCCATCAAAGTACATCATGCACACATCCTGACATGCTCACAAGTTTCCACAAGGGCTTGTAGGATTTCACCTATTCCTTTCCCCCTCTTTTAGGAGATTTCCTCCATATCCAGCCATTTGAAACAAACCTGGCTGTAGCTTCTACTTCTGAAACCGAGGCTAGACTCTCTAGGAGGGCGGATTAGGGGTAAGAAGTAAACATTTGCAGAAGTGACCTGAGCAGGAATCATCCCCAAGACGCTTAGGGCCAGAGCGCATGTGACGCAGTAAGAACCATGAATGGATGTCCCGACATCGTTTTAAAGCTGAAAATTTAAAACGTACTTGTATATATATATTTGCCTAGGGATGCTAGCCCAGAGGGAAAGGGTTAAACAGCCCTCCCCTCCAGTACAGCTTCTCTACCCCAAAGTGAGTTTGTGCAAAGGGAGGCTATAGCAGCTTTTATATAAATAAGAGAGAGAGAGAGAGGTAATGAAATAATCTTAAACAGAACAAATGTAGTATTTCAATGAGGAAAGTGGGGGTGGCAGAAAGTTCTGATATACGTCTGTCTCCCAATGGGGCACACTTTTCCCTATGCAAGCCTGATGGAAGTCATTTTGATCAAGCCTGCATTTTCCCCTCGAGGCACCAAATGTCTTGGCCACCCTTAATAGTGAAAAGTTGGGGGATCCTCAATATGTGACTCGCTGCAGACCAAAACGAAATGGAGAAAAGCGTCGATATAAATTCGCCATTCTGTCTGTCCCCGGACACACCAGCAGTGCCACAAGTCTACTATCAACAAGCATGTCTGGGCTTCAAGAATGGAAAATATGAAAGGGAGTGGCCCTGAAATTTGCAAAGGGACCGTCCGTCCCGGCAGAAGCAATTTCACGCGGAAAATGGAGAAGTAAATCTACGAGGAAAGAATGAATCATTCTCCCTATGGGTGTGAGCCAGGCAGAGTGTGTGACTGGTGCCATTTTGAGGGTACCACTGGCGAGGAAGTGCCCCCACCCAAAACTGATGCCTCATCATGTTCCAATTGTCCTTATATAACTTAGCTGTGGGCGGTTATACAACCTCAAAGGAGACTCAACAGAGGGGGAAGCCACTCAACATTCCCAGCCAAAGTTATGTCTCTCTCCTTCTTTTGTCTTTGTTTGCCAGATTCACCAAGGAGGTTGGATTGTTTACCTCCACCCTGCTGCTTGTGTGGGGACGTGTTACCCCGTCTCTTTATGGCCCGGACACATTTCAACCCCAATGAAGTTTTCTCAACATACCACAATTCCCCACATCTCATGCACATACGGACGGGAAAGGAACTTATCGCTGAGACAAGCACCATGCGCGCCTGGGAACTAGCATGCTCCAGGAGAAGGTCTGTCTTCTCAAACGGTGTCTGGAACATCCTCATCAACCCCCACTGTATTTTGCCACGGCGGGTTAAGGGGAAATTGTACCGTATTAATCATATTAATGCAGATTTCCGCCCAGGCAGAATCTTCCTGCAGGACTAGCATTCTCCTGCATGCCTGCTCTGGACAGGCACTTCAGACTTACAAAAGCCAGAGCACACTTGGAAGTGGTCAGAAAGGCCTGTTGTACAAATGGGGCAGGTGCCTTCGTTCTATACCAGCTGTACTTGCAATTGACACTGTGGGGTTAAGCAAATTCACGTACGCACCTAGCAAAGGAAAGTAGCAGCACTTGCTAAAGTCATTCTTCCTGAAGGGGCTTCTGTTAGGATCTAAAGAGCAAGAATGCAGTTTAACCAACTTTCATCTTTCTTTCTTTTTTTCTTTCTCTCTCTCTGTCTCCCTAGTGAAACACTTAAAGGGGATTTCGGGTGTGTCCGGCACCGTCCTCAACTACGCCAGTCCACGGTCAAAGGAAGACCCCGTGACTGTGATAAACTCCTGCCTGCACCAGCAGCAAGTCCTAAACGTGGCCCCCAGTAGAAGAATTCCCCCCGTACTTTCCCCCAGCTGCCTTCTGAATTACATTTTTTCAAGAAAGTGAATGAGATTTATGACGCAAATCCCCTTCATTATGAAACCAAACACCATCCAAGAACATTTTGCCGCCGTGGGGAGCAATTTCTAGACGACACACAACACATGCTGAAATACTTTTTTTAAAAAAAAAATGTAGCTGAAGAGCCAGATTGCAAGATGCAGAGAAAACCGCAAAAAAGTTAGCGCTTACCTAGCAATCTGAATGTTCCTGGTAAGAAGGTCCCAGCTGCTGTATAATTCCTCCTTGAAAGAGAGAGAGAAAAAGGGCAAGAAGATAAGAGAGAGGGAGAGAGGGAGGGAGAAAGAGAGAAGGAGAGAGAGAGAGAGTATCCAGCTGCCAAGAGTCTGAGCTGGGAACTTACCACTGAAAGTCACTGACTTTTAGTCAAAGAAGGGAAATCCTTTTTAAAACCTTAGCCCCTCCCAGGCCAGTAATTGTGAGGGCAGACAGATGAGACAGGACGTAGGAGGGGCCTCTTTACTGTAATGTGTGTGTGGAATAGGAATAACACCCTTTCATGTCTGCAAACTGGCAGCCAACATTCCTGCTCCATGGTATTTGGGGCTGAGGCCGTCGGTATTTAGGGAGTCAGAATGATTCTGGGTTACAAGGGGAGGGGGAATCAAGGTTATTCTAGGACACATGGAGAGTTGCCGGTCTCTAGGGTGGACTGCTGGAAAGTAGCATATGCTGCTCAGAGCTGGATTCTCATCCCAAAACGACTGGGTGCCGACTGTATTGTTTTCTCTTTTCCACTGTGTTTCGTTTTTGACCTGGGACTGAATGCAATTTTGCATATCCTGTCTTTTAGGCCTGGTTCTCAATCTGGGCCTGGCCTGCACCTCTGGCTGCCCATTGCGGGCTTCACATGCCTCGAACGGTTCTCTGTTCAAAAAATGGTCTGCATGTACAAAATTCGATGTGAGAGGAAACAGTTCACTTCTAGCCTAACCTCCTCCCTGACATGTTAGTTCTCCATGTGCAAGGACTGTGTGTGTCAATACAAAAATAATTCTGCCATCTGGGCAATCTAAAGGGAATAAAGATTAGCTACTGGTTTGCCATTTCTGTGAGAACCAGGTCTCAGCCACTTCTGGGACTAATGAACCCTACATATGATTGGTGCACCCTGAGAAATGTGTGTTTAATGTGCCTTTCTTGCTTGTCCTGAGGAACTCTGCGAGTAGATTGTCAATAAGTTAAGTTTTCCAGTTTGACTTTACTTGTTCCGATTGTTTTCTAATGACGGTTAAAGACATTTTCCAGCCCATACTGAATTCCTACCAGAGCCTCAGTATTGTGTAGATAAGGAAGGCTGGAGGTAACCAAGACATGTTTCCCCTGGTGTGGTCCAGTGTAGCGAGACTAATTTGCTCTCCAGGACTCGGCAGCTGCAATATGAACAAAACCAGTTCATATTTCGTGGAATTTACTGCTTTTCTGGGTCATCAAGATGCAAAGTTAGGTTTGGCGCTAATTATGGGTGCAGCCCCACCTCTGAGTCATTTCAAAGAAGCTTGTGCAGAACCAGTTCTTACTGGATTATGTGCACCCTTGGTTGTACATATTTTGGCTGTTCAGAGAGTCGATCCAAAGAGCCGCCTTTGGTTCAAGCCATCTGGCATGCACTTTTTGGGTTGGGTACAGGCAAGAGGATGTAGAGCTGAAACAAGTAAGATCTGTTCAGGTTCATGAGTCAGATACGGATCTTTGTGAACAATCTTTTCTGCCTTTGACTCTGGGAGCTCTGTTGTGTTACTTCAGAATCAGTTTGGAGGGGCCACAGCTCGGAAGTAGCACCCCTAGTTTCATTCCAAGACATCAGTAGCAAGTCTGAGAAAAGATGTGAAGACCTGGGGTCAAAAGTGATAGATCTGATGGTGATAGATCTGAGTTAGGCACAACCCACACTGCTGTTCCCGTGTGGTCACTACCAAATGAAACCATCACAAATTGATAGTTTTTGACAAAGTTGTGAGTCTTGCATTCCAGTATCCCTAGTGTCAGGAATTTCAAAGGTTTCCCAAGGTCTGGCAAGCTGTGATTGTGACAAATTCACAGCGCCTCTTCCCGTACTTCAAGGGTCATCGCCAAGAACCTTCTGATCTCCACCCAGAGCACCAACTCAGTTGCAAAAGGGAAGGAAGTTTAAAACGAAAATGAGAAAATAATATTCCAGTCAATTCTCAGCTCCACAGCCTTCTCTTACAGTGTTGAGAAGCAAGATCCATGCCACAAGACATGCTCGACTCCAGCACTGTGACCCTCTACCAGAAGAAAGGTTACTAACATGTAACAACCACTATGGAATCTCCCTGCTGAGTACTGTGGGGAAAGCCTTAACCCATGTAGTTCTCAACAGATTACATTCACTCGCTGAAAGGTCTATCCCGAGTCACCGGGGTGCCAACTTGAATAAAATATCAATAATAATAAAAATAATCAATCACAAGACGTCACACACACAATTTGAATGGCAATGCCCATTAATTCTGGGGGGCAGGGCCCCTCAAATATTTTATGGGGGGGAGCGAAGGGAACTTGGTTCCTAGGAGTTGGCTCCTATGCAAGTCACAAGGCAGCTTTTGAGCTCTGAGGTCAACAGTGACATGATTTGATCACTGTGTCAGCTGCAGGAGAAATGCCAAGAGCAGAGGCACCCCATGTAAATCGCCTTCATAGACCTGACAAAGGGCTTTGACCTCATCAGCCGAAAATGACTCTTCACACTGCTCAATAAGATAGGATGCCCACCTAAACCCCATGAGATGATCGTGCCCTTCTACAAAAACATGCACAGCATCAAGTATGACGGCTCAACCTTGGAGCCTTGGAGAGCTGTGTTCTCACTCCAACTCTCTTCTGCATGTTCTTCTCCCTGTTGCTCTCAGATGCCTTCAGCTCAACAGAAGACAGTGTGTGCATCCATTCAAGGAGCAATGGAGGCCTGTTCAACCTGGCACATCTCCACCCAAGACAAAAGTGTGGTGGGTCCTGTGAGATGTTTGCAGATGACGCAGCCTTGACTGTGTGCTCTGAGGAAGCTCTACAGAGACTCATCAGCTGTTTTGCCCAAGCCTGCATGGAGTTTGGCCTCACCATCAGCTTGATGAAGACCAACATCCTGGGTCAAGATGTCACCATCACTCCACGCATCAGCATTGGTGACCACATGCTTGAGGTGTTAGGTGATTTTGTCTGCCTGGGCTCCACCATAACTAGCAACCTCTCCATCGACTTTGAGCTGGACAAGTATGTTGGCAAGGCAGCTACAGAATGACTTGCCTCTCCAAAAGGGTATGGGAGACTGTGATGCTATTGACCACAATGAAGATCTACCAGTCTTGTGTATTGAACATGCTACTTTATGGGAATGAGATGTGGGCAACTTATACCTGCTTGGAGCAATGCCTCAACGCCTTTCACATGTGCTGCATCACATAGCAGGACAGAGTCTCAAACAAAGATGTGCTGTCCCAAACCACATTCCCAGCATGTTCACACCCCTGTCTCAGTGATTTCTATGCTGGCTTGGTCATGTCCACAGAATGGAAGATGGCAGGACCCAAAGGATGTGCTGGCTTCAGACACCAGGCCTGTTGGCAGACCTTGTCTAAATTACAAAGATGCCATGAAGGCTGGTAACATTAACCCCGCCTTGTGGAAATACCTTGCAGACATCTGCAGTGCCTGGGACAGGCAGGCAGGTCATGTAGCCACAGCAATGACCAGAGGGGGAATGGCCATGGAAGGAGTACAGAAAGAAGAAATGTCTTGGTAACACGTGTCTGCACAATCCAATGCCTTCATCTGCCTCACCTGCAACAAAACATGTCTCTCCCTTATTGGTCTGTACAGTCACAGCATGCAAGGTAACTCTCCAAAGGTTTGACTTCAAAGGCACACTCCTCCATTGTCTCCTGAGACAGATGGATGCCAACCAACTAGTTAATTCTCAAGTCAGACAATGTGCTATATTGTTATGCTTCTCACTATATAATTAGATACAAGGGGAGGGTGCAGTGTGTTGGTTCATGTAGGACAGCAAAAAGAACCACTAGCCTGGATAACCACAAGAGTTCCAGCAAATGCAGCTTTTATCAGCCCTATAGCATGATGGGGCTACACTTGCTGAAATTTCTCTTCCTTAAAAATATCTACGGTACTAGAGGCCTGTTCTGGGATGTGCAGGCCATTGAAAGGCTTGGGATCTCAAACCGATAATTTTCAGCACCATCACCAAACTGCAATTCTCAGGATTCTTTGAGGGAAGCTGGGGCAGTTAAACTGACCTACTGTATAAACAGAAACAAAGTAAAAAAGGTGTTGGTGCCCCTGTATGGTATGTTCAAGCCCTACCCCAAATCCTGTGTCTCTTCACCATGGCCATTTCCCAACTCCAGTTAAGACACGCTATTGAAAACAGCACAGAGGAACCCAAGTTCAGTGCCAAAAGTGCTATGTTCCCACACCAAGGATAAAACTGTGGCAGTCGCCTTTAGAATGAGTACCAAAGATTTCAAAATGCGCATGAAATGTCCCTTGTTCTGTCCAGCCAGCAGGCAGAGGGGAATCACCTCTGATGCCTCTCTCTTTACACCCCTATCCACACCGTTGCTCCCAGCGGCCTCCTTGCCTTTCCTTCAGCGGACGCTCTCTATTTATGGACAGCATCTGGAAGGGCCTTACGCAGGCTTGGGGCCAGCTGCAAAGAGCCAGAGTCTTCAGAGGCTGCCTTAAGCCCTGTCCCGTAGGTGCCTCCTTTGGTCTTTGAATCCAGCGTTGAGTCACATACTCTGTGCTGCCTACAGTCCCGGACCTCAGTCATAAATCCTTTTCACAGTAGTTGCCTTCCCAAAAGTGTGTTCCTGTGAAGATCAAAGATTTACGGTGTGCGCATGCGAGAGAAAGAGGGCTAATTTCAGGCATGTATGGTGCGCTTCATGCACCCACTTTGTCCTGTTCAAATGCACCCCTGTGTTCTAATTTTGCAGCGGAAGTGAGTGTACTCGGGATCTTTTAACGGTTAATGCATAGTTTTTCCTGTATCAATTCCAAAGTCCATATTGGGGCAATGCCATCATTAAGCCAACCAAAAGAGTCCTGGGGAAATCAAAA